CCGTTTCTAGCCTCCCTTTGCTGCCTCCCCCCGCCCCAGAACGGGACCTTTAACTTCAGGCCCCCATTCCCGTGCTCACCTGTGCCCTTGCTCGTGCACAAACACACCAGCAAACCCTCATCTCCCTGTCGGGGAGCAAAGCGCCGTTCCCCAGCCTGCAGTACGGCTTCAGAGCAGCAAGCCCAGGCTAAGAACAAGCCTGACAAAATCCATTCCGCTCTGGCTCCCGGCCCGTCACGTCCCGCGCGGGGCAGCCGGGCACTGGCCTTTTGCGGGGCGAGACGGGAACTTAACCAGCTCCTCGCCCCCGCTGCTGTCACTCACACGTCATGCCCCACGCTGCCGGGGCGCAGGCTGCCTGCCAGCCCGTAATCAGGTGAAGTGCAGACCTTTCATTTTTCCAAAGCAGGAAGCACTTAGCCACCAGCAGGGCCTCGTGCCTCTGATCTCTGCGAGAGCCACGGCTCAGCCACGGCCCTTTGAACCGGTGTCCGGCTGCCGCTCGCTGCCCAGGACAGACCCTGGTTCTCTGCCAGGCTCCGCTGCGGTGCTGGGGGGCGAAGGAGCTGCCTCAGGTCCAGCCTGGAGCCGTGAGCAGGGGGAAAACCACCCCACCATCACCCACAGATCTCTGAACGCGTTACGAGGGTCATGGGACTATTTCCCCATGATCCATCCCGCTTACACAGTGTTACAGGCAGAGACCACCGGTACGCAGAGCTCTGGTGCCCGCCCTGCCTGCGGCCTGCCTGCGGCTCGCGCGGGAGCCCCCCCGTACTCGGCGCGGCTGCAGACCCACCCCCGGGATGGAGCAACACGCATCTTCCAGCTACCCGCTGTGATCGATCGCCCCAGGGCCTCCCTAGGGAACTGCAGCCTTCTTACGTTCAATTAAGTGGACGTTCCCCCTTCCATCTCTAGTGATTAATACAGGTTTAATTGCTGCTTCTTGCTGGCTGCTGGGGCAGGGCAGACGTTTTGCCGTCCCACTGGGTATAGGCTGTGCTGTTGCGAATAACCTGGATTTCCACTGGCCGCGTGGTTTTTGCGGCCCTGGATGCCAGCAAGGGGCTGGCACAGCCCCCATTCAGCCCTGACCCAAACCCTTCCTGCCTCTCCCTGCTCCATCCTGCACCCGCAAGCACTGGAAACCTCCGCGCCAGGAACCACAATCCTCCCCCCAGGAATGCTTCAGCCCCTCCATACTACTGCCTGGAGCATCAGCTGGGCTGAGTAAAGGATGGGTCTACTCTTCTCCACGCACAAGAACTTGTGGCCTCCGGCAAGTTTGTACCAAGACTCAAGCAAGGCCATCTCCATCTTCAGCCAAACAGTCACCAGAACCACTGTCAGAGCTTTAAAAACTCATCCGTAAACACAAAGTGACAAAGTCTGCTCAACGTTCAGAGGAGAATCCAAGTAAAGGCCACTTACCCCACCTCCGGCGCCGGATCCTGGCTAGGAACACACGCGGCGCATGCTCCCGGCTCCAGCAGCATCTTGCTACATCAAACGAGGTCCCGAATCACAGCTAGTCCTCTTGTCTCCAGGGGTGAGACTTGGCTCAGGCCTCTAGACACTAACCTCTACGACACTTCTCTTCTCCAGGTAGAAGCCAACA